GCAACCACTGTAGTTCACAAGCCGGCTGCATTTTGCCCGGACACTTCTCCCCACGGCAAACCGCCTGTGTTTGGCCGAAGCCTGGATCCCCTTTCTGAATGCTGTGTCTTGGTTTGAAAAGAGCGGGGAGCCTCTTTCTTGGAAGGGTAAATCATGCTCTTGGGTAAAAATCTGTGCCTCCTAATTTATGCCCAGAATTTTATCCGCCTGATAAAATTTATCTGCGTTGGGCGAGGCCAGTTCTTTTAGATTTTTGGCAGAGACCAAGCTGGTGGAGACCTAACTCCTAGTGTCCTCTGGCCTTCAGCTTGATTTGAAGATCTTTTACATGCCCCTTGTTGTAGCAGCAGCGCCGTTTGCAAAGAGTCAGTCAGTCAGTCAGTCAGTCAGTCCCGTCCTTCACCTGACAGTCTGCACGCCTCCTTATGCATCAAAAAATACAGGCAGATGGTTTTGCTGCAGCGCTACCCTGCAAACTCACGCTTGGTACTTTCTCCAGAAGGAAACCTACACTGCACCTTGCCGCTGCTTTCCAGGATCCAAGGCCTGAGTGCCTTGTTTCCAAACTGCCTTACCTTCATGCTTACAAATGAAACAATATAAATAATTTTTTTTTCTTTTAAATGAAAGATCATTCCTCTCTGGCCTCATTTCTGTTTAAAAACCTGCTAAACTGAGTGTCTCCTGCAACTATGGGTGCATTTACTGTCCGATGGGCAGCACTGCCCTAGAACATTGGGCTCAGGTCCATTTTCGTCACAACTGGGCAGCAGCTTGGGGGAAGTCTGGCCATATCTTCCATAGGGACTGCACTCTTGCTGGGTTCTTGTAGATCTCTGGTAGGTGTTTCTGCTCTGGTTGGAGCAAAACTCCTTTTCTCATGGCTTCCCCCGACTGAGTAAATACGTGCTCAGTGCCGTGGCATTGTTCTTTGGGTTTGGGCTCTTTCCAGCTGAGTAACTATTACAGCCACATGGTAGTTTTTACGACAGGAGGACGGAGATGTGCGTCAGATCACTGGCCCGACTGGACCAGTATCCTGTCTCCAGGATTTTGGACAAGATTACTGGAGCCAGGGCAAGTTTAGAGTGAATATTGCCTTGCTACATTCTCCCAGCATTTACTGATTGGCATTTTGGAGAGTTTATGGGCTGGAGGTTGCATCTGAATGACTGTATTTAATAATCCCGATGGACACGCCTTGCACAAATGTGTCTTGATTCCTTTTTGACCCTGGTCATGCCTTTAGGCGCTCCAGTATCCCCTGGCAATGAGTTTCTCCATCCAGCTGCGTAGTGTGTGAAAAAGTACTGCTCTTCAACTGCTTCAGAGCAATTGTCTGATAATTTAAGGGTAAAACAAGCGCTCTGATTTTGTCAGATATACAGGCTAGGAAAGTGAAGACATGCCGTACATGCTCAGATTTCCCAGAACCGTGCACATGGTTTGGGCACGCATTAAATCTCAGTTACCTGGGCAAACGCGTTAGCAAGAACATTGGAGTCTTCAGTGGTGCTCCCCAGGCACGTGTAACTGGTCCCACCTGTGCAGGAGCCCAGCTGAGACCTACAAAAATGTGGTTTACGGGATCACTGGGGCAACCAAATGGAGAGGAATGGTTGCATGAGATCTGCGGTTCGTCGGCGGGTGCTCCCAGGCAAAAGGCAGCGGGGTGGGCGTGCAGGGGCCCCGCAAGCCCTGTGGCGGCAGCAGCAGTGATGACTTCCCAGGGCACCAACCTGAACTGAGGCCAACCTTACTTAGCTTTAAGGGTCCCGTGGCACGGACTGGAGTAGCATAACCGTACTGAGGGACTAAAACCAGCAGCTAGCTAATCGCTGCTGTGCTGAGCAGGTGGGGGTTTGTATGAAAGGTGGGTTGGAAGAAGCACTGCCGACACCGGGATGCCCGCTGGCATGAGCGGCGCTTTCAAGTGTCAGCAGCTGAGCGAGAGCAAGCGCATCGCCGGTCCCCGCTGTCACGGAAAGTGCTCCAGGTCTGCCTGCCGTCGCGCTACCTGCCTGGCCTCAGGGGTATGGCACCCCCTGAAGAGGCAGCGCATGCAAATGTCTTGCATATCTGTACTTTGGACCGTGCAATTGAAAAAAGCCCATCGTGTGCAACGAACAAACCTATTTTCAAGAGCTCTTCCTTCACACTGTTGTCTGGTTTTCACTGAAGAGCGTTACTTTCTTTCAAAGAGGAAGCAGGTGCTTAGAAAGGATTTGTTTTTGCAGCGAGGGGAAACTGCAGGACGCGTGGCCTTCGCTCAGCCCCTCTTTGCCTGGTTCAGAAAGCCCAGCTCTCAGCGGAGCTGCTTGCGCCGAGCAACCCTCCCAAAGCCCAGCCTTGCGGGGTGGTGGGCTTGCAGCCAGCTTTACCTTCCCCAGGGCGAGCCGGGGTGCACACACGGTCATGTGCGTGCCTGCACACATGTGCATGGGCTGTCCCCGCTGCTGACCCTCAGCTGGGAACTGCGAGCTGACAGGCGGTGAGCTGTCTTCGCTCCTTCTCTGTGGTAACCAGCAGAGATAAAAGGCAAGTTTCTAAGGTGACAAAACGGAGCTGGAAACAAGCACCGCTGTCAGAACTCTCTACCTTTGGGAGTCTTGCAAACTTTAGCTGCAAAGCCTAGACATGAAAGGGAAGGGAAGGGGGAGGAGAGAAAGGCAATACTGACTGTTTCTCTGTCCTTCTCTTTGTCTGCAGACTTCTCCTACCCTTTCTTTCCACCTTGGATGAAAGTGGCCACTGGGCTGAGGAGTTTTTGAGCAGGACTTACTAGCCAGAGAAGATGCTGGCAATGCTGCTTCTCCAGAAACCAAGCTGAAACCAAGATATTTTTCTTTTCTCCTAATTCACAGGCTTTTCAAAGAAATAAACAGAGGTAATCAGTTTTAACGAGAGATTTATTTTATCTCATTGCTTCACTGATACTTTGACGATTTCGTAGCAGCTGTGGATGAAACGCTGTTTCATTAGGCAGGATTTACAATCCCGGGGAAAGTTCCCTCCTGCCACCCTCTCTTCCCTTCTCTGACAGTGGTCTGCATGTCTGCCAGGCCGGGAGGTGGCTTTTCCCCATGCGGCTGTGGCCTCTGTGCCCAGATGGATGCTCCTGGTGGCCTTGGGGACCAGCAGCAGGAGGGAGCACGCTAGAGACAGACCCATTTCCCAGCTGTCTGGTGACAAGGAACCCTCGGGGCAAGGCCAGTCCTGAGTTGAGGAGCCGGGGTTGGTTCCCTCTGGACACCCCACAGGAGAGCGCCTGTTCCCTGCATGAAGCTGAGCCAGGGGAGAACCAAGCTCCGTGTTGGGCTGGGGATGGAGTCTCCATGTCCTGAGCTTGTCTCTTATTTCAGCTTTGCTGTGCCGTGACTCCAGAGCTGGTGAGCGAATGCTGAGGCCTGAATTGACGATTTTCATTCTAGCAGCAGCGAGCCAATTTCCAAATGCAACAGAACACGATATATGCTATATACATCAGATGTCATCCCCGCTTCACCGGGACAGTGCTAAGACAGGAGTCTGGCACACAGCAGTCTTTGATCAGTGTTAAACATGCAATCACCTGCTTTTAAGCCAGGCTTACCTATCTAAGGGAGAAGCATGCATTTTCTTCATGCTTCAGGAGTGCCTAACTGCACCCCATGAGGGTTTATCACTTCCCTCAAGCCTCGTGCAAGGAATAGTCACGCAAGTTCTCGAGCATCTTGCTTGTTCGTGCTGGTACAGCTTGCTCTGTTCACAGGCAGGAGATGCTCTCGCACACTGCAGTACGCCTCTGTTGTTGTGGCCTGCAAAACCTGTGTATTACTCGTGCATTCAGCAATATTTCACTGCGTAATCTGTGAAAGCCTTTTTAAAATCGCCGCCGTGTTGTGTTAGCTGTTTGCAGCAGCCGCTTCCGCAGCGTGATCGGCCCTCCCCCTCCGCGGTGCTTTGCTATGGGCCCCACTGAACGGAAGGGAGAAAAGAGAAGAAACGGGAACTTCTTTCTGGAATTGTATCATCCCAAAACTGAGAGAAGAAGTGAAACTTAAATAACATGGACTGTTTTTAGTAAAGGGTGGCGAACTTCTTAACCTCGCAGTGAGCGGTTCCCATGCTGCAGTCTGTGGAGGAGTGGCTGGATTCAGTACAAGAAGTTTCAACTCCTTATTTCCAGTCACTAATCTGTGTTAAATATCAGCCAGCATTATAGGAAGCATTCCCTTGGTATCTTCCAGTGCAGAGGGAAACCTCAGACCACCTCTGGAGTGAAATTTAGCCAAAGAGAACTGCTTAAGCCTCAGTTTCTGACTTATTAGTAAAGCATTACATGAGAGAAGGTGCAGCTTCATCCACCCACCAAGGTTAGTATGACAAGTCACATACTTCTCTTAGCCTAGAAAGAAATAGCACTTTGACTATTTTTCTGTGTTCTGCCTTAGAGGTCAGAAAAAGAAATGATACCGAAAGAGAAAGAAAGAGGAAAAAGAATAAACGTCAAATTTCTGGTTGAGAAATCACACTTTGCAACTGAAATTTCCCTCAAAACCACCTGACCCAATAGCAGCCTGGGCCTGATTCTCATATGAGTAGTCGATAGGATTTTCACTTGCAAAGGCTGATGGCAGCAGAGTGGGAATTCACACTCACAGTTCTGACTAAAAAAGGAAACCCTGTTTGCAGATTGTAGATGGGTAAAAATGGGATAAACCTGGGTGTTGCTCTGTAGTGTATAGCACTAACCATGAAAAGATGCACTGAGTTACAATATCTTTAGGAAAATAAATACAAACTATGACATGTTCCCCCTTAGCCTCCATAAGGTAAAACTTCAGTGTGATCCAAAGGTCAGAAAGCAGCGTCTCCTCTCAAAGAAATGCAGGACAAAGCATTTCTTGAAATATCAGTGGAAAGTATTGTATTTGATAAGCTTCCCACCACCCTCGGGGAGGTATTTGCATCTGTTGCTCTGGGTATAAGAGAACATTTCATATTCCTTGGACAAAACTAGGCTAAGATGGAATTACAGCTGGGAGCAGATTAATAAACTCCGAGTAAAACATACGATGGGACCGTAGCAATTATCTATCAAAACCAAGCACACTAAAACTCTGGAAATGTGAGGTTTGCAGGTAAATTTAACTGGAAATGTAAAAATGGGGACACACGAGGTCAGGCAGCCGAGCACGGCAGGCATGATTGTGCCTCTGTGAGTGCGATGGCAGTCCTGCCCCCCTATTTTGGGGCAGCACTTCATGGGATGCCCCCCCTTCATCTGCATATAAAATGACTGTCAGGAGGCCCATGATCTTCCCAGCCAAATCCTTCCAAAAATGATTACCCTGCAGGCATCGAATCACTTTGGTTGGAAAAGACCTTTAAGATCATCGAGTCCAACCTTTAACCAGTCCAAAGTGTTGCAGAATAAAGAATATGAGAAAGACACTGAAATCTCATGCATTCAGTATTAGGCTTGTCAAATGCAAGGTGTTGTTGACGTGTCCAGGACGATATTTCAGAGGAATAAAAAGTGTGAAAAGATGCAAGTAAAAACTGAGTAAAAAATGATCAACCAAAAAGTACAAAAATCAAGGTTGGTTTAAATATATATATATATAAACATACGTATTTTTACAAATTTAAATTATATAAATATATAAAACCTCAAGTTTCCTTCATGGTTAAATTAAAGTATGTGTGAAAAATGTTGCTAATTTATTTTCATCAGGGCTCGATATCATCCTGGAGGTCTTCCATCTTAGCCAGTATAGACACTAGAGTGTGTCCATCCAAATCCTCTAATTTATGTTTAGTTCTATATTTAAGCAAGGTCAACTACAGCATCTTTATACAGGAACTAAAAACACTTCTCTCCATGTATGTGGTCCAATGTAAAAAAAGAAACTGAAAAACAGAGCAAAGCTTTAAAATTAGCTACCCACTCCTGAAAGAGGTATTAAGCCGTTAGATGTAATTGCCAAGCTGCCTACTAAAAAAGTGCATCTATTAAAATGAAGCATTTCATATGCCTTCCACCAAACTTCATCTCAGTCTACCAAATAATTTCAGCCCGTCCTCAGACTGATGGAAATTCTCGTGCTGAGCATTAGATAGGCACCTCTGTGCTTGAAAGGATATTGGTTTATCAGAACAAAGCACCGCCATGGCAAATGGGCTGGTGCTGGTGGCACTGGTGTTAATGAGCGAGCACTGCAGGACTCGGAGACTGCTGGTTCGGACGAGGACATTGCGTGCTGTTCTTCTCTGGAGACAGTTATAAGTTTAATTCCCTACCAGATGCTGTATTTTGTCATACACTGTACAAGGTTCCTGTACGACTTGTAAAATCCCTGGGTTACCCCTGTGTACTGAAATAGGACTGGAATACATCCAAATCATAGTAACCCAACTCATTGGCTGTATTTGCATTATACTGTGTAGGTAGTAAATGGGGAGGAAAAAAAAGTATTTGCCATGTAATACAGCTCTGGAAATTTCATCATTAGGAGGACTAATTGGCCTTGTTGAAGGTGAAAATATCTCCAGGACCCTAACTGGAAAATGCACTTGCTCATATTCAGATGTTTCTATCTGACCAGACAACCAGTCCATTTGCAATACAGAATGGGTTTGGGTGGCCAGTAATACTGGTATATACGGCTGTCGCAGTAAATTGCAGTCCTGGCCACAGCCACCTCGGAGGGGAACCGCACAGAGGTGCTTGGAGGTCCAGGCACTGCTGCACAGGGAGGCTTTACCTCCCCCGACGGTACGTAACCCTACATGTAACTATCTTGCAGAGTGAGATGCGATCCTGCAGGGTGCAATTGCTTTTAAAATGAATTCTCTGATCACTATCACAATTATTCCTTTAAATTTGACACAGATGGGGACCCCACATCCTGCTGTGTTTCAGAGCATGGCAGCACCTGGCCATGAGTTGCCCGACGCTTTCTGTAATGAAAGTGGCGGTGGTGGGGAAACACCATGCAGGAGGGGGAAATCTAACTTCAGAGGCCGTCGTTATGGATGATTACAACCGTCTGCCTGTGGGTGACGGGTTTTACAAGAAACATCTAAAAAAAAAAAAAATCAACCAGGTTGTACTGTGGCACTCCAGCCTCTGTCATAGATTTCTTCTTCCTGTGGAAGTAATTTGTGATGCCTTGAATTCGGAGCCGTGCTTCATTTTGCATAGAGGGTCAGGCTGATACCCCTTGCAGAGCGTACCTGTCTGAGCACGGCTAGACCGATCAGATAGCCGCGGCTCAGCGAACAACACCATGTGTGCTGTTAGAGCTCTTCACTTCGTGGCATCAGGCCATGCAGACGTCAGTGTTCTTCAGCCTCACATAGCTGAAGCCGCCTTGGAAAGAGCATGGCTCCTGTTGGAACCATGCTCCATAAGCCACCAAGGGCACTGTTGGCTCCCAACCCCTGCTCCATAGGCAAAGGCCAGGGCAGAGAGGAGGGTGGCTCCACCGCCCTTTCCTTGCTCAAAATTTCTAGCTGTCTTTTCTCCATCACTTGGTCTCTCTCTGCAAAAATGGAGCCAGGATCAGAGTAGAGGTAAGTCCATGGTAACCTGTCCCCCACATCCTCTTGTGTCTTTCTGGAGGTCTCCACACCCATTGGAAGCCTGGATAAGACCTTGCCTGTCCCCTTCCCTTAGCTTCCTGAGCATGCTGCCACTTCACCTTTTTATAAATTTGTAAAGCTTCCTATTACAAAGCAGTTCTATCATCTCTACATATTGAAAAGCAGAAATATCCCTCTGGCTCTC